CTATAGATTTTTCTAAAACTTCAGCCAGAACTAGCTCAATTTATAATTGTTAATCAATATTGCACATGCACTTTTAAGCACCTTGCTTGCTTTCTCTTAAGGGCAAACAAAAGCTATAGGATTGGGTTGTTTCTACTTTTAGTCTTGGAGTACTATTCTCTCCATCTGACCAGTTGATTAACTTTTATATTTTTATGCTTTTAAATCTCTGCAGAAACACTGAGATAAGATGGGCTCAAAAGCCTAAATGGTACTCATCCAAAAATGTCCCCAATCTCAGGATCTCAACTGCACAGCTGGCTTCTGTTGGTCACATGTCAGCTTCAGAGCACATCTGTTCATTCCTAAAGTATCCACTAGGACCTATGAACACAATGTGCTCTGTGTAGAATACTTTACACCACAAAACCCAGCAGCTGCATGGGTGAGAAAATCTCTACTTCTCAAGTTTGTGTCTCTAGGCAGTTTGAGTAGGGTGTTTTCTCTCTGGCTTTCTTTTGGTTGCCTGTCACTCCTGACATTCAGATGCCTGTTGGCAACAAAGTTGCTTTTGCTATTCTACTACAGATGTTTCTAGCCTGGGAAGAGACAGACCAAACTTTTACTGGAAAGTAGAAATTCTTGCCACATTCAGGCACCAAACCTGAGAAAACATAAGGAAGATCCTGGCCACAGGCTCAAGAATGGAAAGGTAGGTCACTGCCAGGAAAATAATGTCCAGATCTGAAGACTTTTAGTTTTAGCATTTAGGAAAAATGTTTGTGTCAAATCTTCCCACCTGTGCTGTTCCATGATGGTCAAACGACACTTCTCTAGTAGGGCATGCGAGAAGGGTACAGTTACCTGTACCTCACCTTGGAGAGTGACATCTTTATATTGAAGCTTTCTGTGAACTCACGGTCATGCGTGCATTGGTGTCAGGGGGAGGAAGAAGGGTGGGGGACACCCATTCATGTACTTCTGAAACTGTATACATTAGAAATATTTGTGTGTTGATGAGGTTGAGTTGGAATACCACGAGAGTGGTACAAATGAAACTGAAGATACATCAAAAGTGAAGGCATTAAACATGAATGGGTTTATGTCATAGACTTCATTAGTTTGATTCATAGAAAATTATTGTTGTAGGTCAAGAATGATATTATGAAGTCTGCTTTTACAATTCTCAAAGGCCTCATTGCTAGTTTTTAGAGGAAGGAGCAGTCTTGGGTCAACATGTTTTAAATGAGATGTGAGGGACAAACATAGCTTATAATATTGTAACTACTTCCCCCCCCGCAGGAATGTGTCTATATTTATATAGCATAGCCTGTTAAATCTGTACCAATGGCTGCAACTACAGACCACAGAAGCTTCTTTAATAACACACATACACCAAGTCCAAAATGTTCTACTCTGTCATTCATGTGTAAATCAAGTATATTATTCATATACTTCATCGACTTCCTGAATGCGTGCTAAAAATGCCAAGGAAAAACTCGTTAATCGTGACATGGTGACTGCTCAGCCAGCTCTGAAATGTTGATGGAAAAGAAAAATGGTCAAAGGGCCTTTTTAAGAACCTTTGCAGGTTACACTCGCAAATCGGAATTCAGAGAACATGAATTTCCTCATTCAGGAAGGAAGGATTAAAATCAAACACCCTCCAGTGGTTGCATCTAAAAACTGCATAGTTGTCCCAAATGGCTTAGTTGTAAAAGGAGTCTTCCTGTGTACCACTGAGTACGCAGGATCCAAGTCCCTGCTCAGTCTAATTGTTGTACAATCTCAAAAACACTAAAATGATCTTCTATGGACTGTAAAAATCTCTCTTCTCCCTAATAACATCATCTTGGGTATTTTTATTTTGAGTCCTTTAAATGCCAGGGTATATGAGGTGACAACCTTCTATTATCTCTTATGTAGCGTGTTATAGTCCTCAACTAAAATCTTGTAGTTTTGTGCTAGGAAATATGGCTTGTGTAAGCCTCATACTCCATGGTCAAGGAGGACATTCAGACCTGTCTGTGATACACCAAAACAACTAATCAATTTCAATCAATTTAGCCAATCAACTAGCTGACTCAATGAGGTGTAAAATAGTCTACCACCTGTTTGGCTAAATTGACACAGCAGGTTGATTCAATTGACCTGTCATCATCAAAATAGACTATCTGAGAGAACTAAGAGAACACAGTTTGGGGATGCATCTCTCTCACTCTCATGCTCTCTGGGTCTCACTCTCACCCATGCACAATAGCTGCTTCTTTATATAATAAGCAAGTGTCATCTAGTGAGTCTCAGGTAAAGTGACTCGCCTGTGTTCCATGTTGCCCCTATTTCCTTTTCTGATGTGCACAATGTTGAAGCATTGTTTTCCAGGTCAGAAGAAAGATAATCAAATTTGATGTGTTCGGACATGAAGGGTGACATTTTTAAGTCACTTGGGTTGATAAAGACTGTCTATTGTGGTGCCAACAATTTTGTAATGCAATAAGGCAGAAATTGAATCCATATTGAATCCTACTGAAGGTGACTTGACATAGAGTATAAATTCCACTTTGGTAATGATATTACTTTAATACAATTTAGTACACTATCACTCTAAAAATCGATGTTGCAGAATTTTGATAGTTAACAAGATGCTCTTGGCAAAAATGCAAAAAGTACATAGGAATCTAAGGAATTAAACCAAAAAATAGTAAAGGGATATTTTTGATATTTCATTAATGATTGATTGACCTCTTGTAGATATTCTTTCTAATATCTGAAAAAATAAAAGTAGTATACACATTAGGACTGAAACTATTCCTATTAATTACATTTTTTTCTTTCAGCAGAAAGCTCCTTGTTTAGATTTCACATTCACTTTGTTAAAAAAAATGCCTTTCAGATACTGTCATGCAAAAATTAACATTTTTACTTATTTCATTCTTATTATTTCTTCTTGTCTTAAACCAATACTATTAAAACAAAATCAACAAGCATCTATGAAGCATCTACTGAGTTCAGGTATTTTGGTAGATGGTAACAGGTGTATGAAGATGAATGAGACAGTACTTGCCCTCATGGAGCTTATAGTTTTATTGAGAAGATAAGACAAATAGCTGGAACACTACATTAAAAAAAGAAAATAATACAAAATGTCACAGGAGTAAGGAGTACAAAATTTATAGTCAAACAAGTGATTATACACCACATACTCTAGGGCTAGAGAAATTATTATGGACTTTTCACAGAGGCAGTGTTATGGAGAGTGTAAATAGGATTTGTAAAGGTGTAGGAGGCTAACATGAACAAAAGTGTTGCACCAGACTGTAGCAGTGTTTAGCTAAGGGTTAATGGATTTTATCCTATAAGAAATGGTGAAGAATTTAAGGTTGTTGAATAGGGGAGAGACATGATCAAGGAGGTATACATATTAGTGGGACTAGATGCGTAAGAGGAAAAATAGGGAAGGCAGAGAGTAATCAACATTCAGGAATGAGGTGATTAGGGCCTATACTAGAATGGTGGAAGTGGTAATGGAAAAGATGCAATGGGTACTGGATTTAGGAGAGAGATACAAAAGAATCAAAAATGACTCTGAGGTATCTGCATGTTCCTTGGGGCTCGATCAATGTAGAAGTGGTATTTAAAGTCATGAAAATAAAGGAAATTACAGAAAGAAGCGAGGAGAGGACCATGGGGAGAAATTTGGGGAAATATTACATTTGTAGAAAGTAATATACCAGAAAATATTGTCTGGTTTCTTTCTATGCATGTGTAAGTGTGCATACTCATGTGCAAACCCAAACATATACAGAAACGTATGCACACTGAAAAAAGAGATGAACAACAAAAACTCAGTTGTTTCAATTTGTTTCCTGTCAGTTTAGTGGCCACGGTAGACTTCTGATAATCTGAATAAAAGTTATTGAGGAATAAATAGCGTGATCTAGAGGAGTGAGAACCGGAATCAAACAGATATAGGTTCTTATTCCATCTCTACCATTTGCCAGCTGACTGGTCTTGGACTTCTTTCAGGCCTTATTTCCTCATCTGTAAGATGAAGATAACTACCTGCTCTTTCTCCACATAGGGTTATTGTAAAGATGAAAAGAAATAATGTATGTGAGAATATTCTATATACTGTGAAGTACTAAATATATAAGCTTTTAAATTTTGTTAGCCCATGTGTATAAATTACCATATTCCGATTTGTGGTCACAGCTTAATCTCCCCCTCTCAAGGATATTAATATAGACATGCAAGTGAATTCTAGCACTTTTATGTTCCCTCAATGGCATTTCAAGCTCTTCGAGGGCAGGGACCATATCTTTTCTGTATTTACCTCACACTTTACTGTGTACAGTACTCTGAACAGAAACAGGAAAAAAGTATATATTTTTACTTGAACCTGAATTTATTCTGTAAGCTCATATATAGCTTTCAATATGTAGCATAATTTAAAAGTAGCACTCAAGCCTACATAGTCTAGAACTTCTTAAAAAGAATTTAAATACACAGTGAAGGTGCCATACGCCATGGCCTCACTTTCATTTTTAAGTGGATTTTCTCCTGCAAATCTGGATATGAGTATTAAAGCATAAATTCAGAGTTATTAGTGACAATGATTGTAGGTATAAGTAGAAGCACAATGACAGAAGACCAGATTTGGAACTGAAATGCATTGAAAATCTGAAATGCAAAAAATCTGAAATGCAAAAAGTCTGAAATGCAAAAAATATCTGACTTATACACATTTTTTTTAACAATCATCATTTTCTCAGAACACTAAGGCAATATAATAAAGCATACCATTAAAGCACAATTTAAAAACCATATCTAAAATATAAATGAGAGTGCCTTTAAAAAAATTTGGATGCTAGAAAGTCAGAGCACAGGTATTGGGGAAAATTTTGAATTTAATAAAATCTCCTGTAAGAAAAACTATCTAAATACTTGGCTCTGACATTTGAAGCCTCCACATAACTTAAGTGAAGCCAAACTTTTAAAATACAAAAATTGAAAGTACTTACTTCCACTTGGAATTAGGTCCCTTTCTGGGATGAAGAGTTTATATCCATAGTGTTTTTCTAGCACATCTGGCAGTATTTCAAGAGCAAACTGCTCTTCTTCAGGGTTGTCACATTCCAAAGTATCTTGGTCCACTTTTGTGTAAGAGAGATAGGCATCATATTCCTTGTTGTCTTAGAAACAAAGAAAAACAAAAGGGTTGTATGTATCATTAGGTTCTCTTTAAGTACTAAATGTCTATAATCATTAACAGGCTGGAATATGCACTATAATTAGTGACTGTCATTAATAACTGGAAAAAATAAGTTATATGCAATGCTATAAGAAGTCTAGTACATTTCAACATAACTTAGTTATAGTCGTAGGATATGAACTGAAACTGTTATGCAGTGGGCAACATATAGTCAGGACAGAATAAAAGAGAACTATTATTTGTGACTTTTGGTGTGAATGATCAGCTCAGTGTGTTTGAATGCAGGACTAAATAGACTCATGGATTTGAACTCTTTCTGTGCCAGTTGGCTTGGCTCTGTTACTCGGTCACAGACTATACCTTGTTTGCACAAATATGTGTAAGAGATCCAAGAGGGGCTGGGCCCTAGAGTGTGGAAGATCGAAATAATCCAGCCTCACTCCTGGAGACACTACTTGTAGCACATGCCATACTTCCAGTTGGTTAGTGTCGTCATCCTCATATACAAAATGCAGTTCATTACCAAATATTAGAGACAGCAGCTGGGTTTTATACAAGTGCATTGCCTGTTATTCTTGTTCAATCCATGGCCAACTAATTTGACACAAGCTACCAAAAGAACCCTTTGTTTCAGAATATACATCCTTCCAATATTGCCAAATTAGGTTTTCCCTTCACACATTTAGTCAGAGGGTTAACTGTGCTTTGAGAATGTATTTTTTCTTCCTTTGCTATATTGGCTCAGAGCCAGTCTCCCCAAAGAGAAAATTCTCTCTCTCTCTCTCTCTCTCTCTCTCTCTCTACATATATATATATATATATATATATATATATATATATATATATGTATTTTTTTCTCAAAGTATTAGTCCCCGCTGGTTTTAGAAGGAACACATTGGAAAAGTTATAGTGGTTTTCAAAATTCCCTTATTTATAGAAAAAAATTTAAAAGTTAATGTAATGAACCTAGACTCATATGGAACTATTAGTATTTTTTAAATCTAGTTACTTGCAAATAATAATTTTAAAAGACCAACAAACATTTCAGGATTTGTTTCTAAAACACAGAAATATTTTCCATTAAAACAGACCTGATTAGAATATAGCTAAAACTTGAACAAAAGTTAATTTACAAGATGAAGCAGCCAGTCACTTCCCTATACCACTAAAATTTGGTTCTACCTGCTGAAAGAGGAATATGTGATAGGCATATAAAGAGATATAAATACCCTATGGTAGGAGTACACAGCACCCCCTGACTATCTAGTGATAACTGAGGCAGGATTATATTGTTCTAAGTCTAGTAAGATTCCAGGCTTCACTACCCTCACATGAACGGGACTCTGCTTATTTATATTAAGATGGTGCCTGAAGCCAGGAGGCTTCTCTTTAGCCTGTCCTCTATCTGGAAAAGACTGCTGTGAACCTTGGTTGGGTACTTGATTGCCTAGAAGCAGATGCACATGAAGGACTGCCCTGATAGTTGAGATCACTTGGCTTACAAATGGGGCACATTCTGCTGTTATGCATAAAACGCCACTTGGAAGTGAGAATGTTCATAAGCAATGCTAATGTAAGAACCTCCTGGTAATCCTAGCACCTCTGCCCCTGTTCCAATCAAGCTCAGGATGCACCTGCAGGCCCTTGACTTTCTCCAGCTATAATTACTCACCTGGGACTGAGAGCTGCCGATGATACACAGCTGGAAGAATAAAATAGGCCAAAGGACAAACAGATCTATTTCTATGAGCAGACTGTATTTCATTGTTCTTGATGGATGGTGTTGCTGCCTCAAACTCCATAATGTTAGACTAGACCCTAGTTTCCTCTGACTTTGATAACTCTATGTTACAAACCTCCTGAAATGCAACCACTTATTAATTCATTCAACAGTGATTTGTTGAGCATCTATTATGAGCTAGCCATCTGCAATGACTACCTGACTCTTTCACCCATCTGGCCAGAACTTCTAGACTCCTGCCATATTGCTTGTCCTGACTATGACTATTTGCCCTCCAACCACGCCTAATCTCACATATCCCTGGTCCTATCCTTACTTGCTTCACCTATATTCTAATATAGGTGATGCTACAAAGACTTTTTTTCCAGAAAATATTGCTATATTTGCATATCCCAAGTCAAGTTTTGAGAAAGAAAATGGATGTCTTTGCTATGTGTTAACACCCAACACATCTGGATAACAAATTGTACATAACATTCTAGAAACATATCATTCTTTGGAAAATGGTTGCTTCTGTTTTCAGTCATGTCCCTTTAAGGTGAACTAAAGGTGAAGAGCTTATGGTAGCTGGCCAGAGCAGGAAGAGAGCTCTCTAGCCACCATGTCAGATGTCCCAGAAGGTCTAGGATGCCAGCTAGTGAGCAAGCAGTGATGCAGATGCAACAGTTTTAAAAATGCACTTCAGCTTTATGTAGACAGCCAAGAAAACCTCATGAATAGCCACAGCTGTTGCTCACAAAGAGGAGCAAGATGGATAGAGCAATATCAACAATATGATGCAAATAAAGGTTAACAGCAAGTCCTGAATATTGTTTTAAAACCGAATGGCAATTCAGCAACACCACTTTGCTAGGTGAGGCTAATGAGCATTCCTCTGTGTTAAATCATGCTGACTAAGTTCAACTGAGGAACCAGAAAACAGCATGATGGAGACAAAACATTATAAGGAAGAAGGCTTGCACAGTGGTCACCATAGGTATGCTGTTACCAATGAAGAGAGAAGTTATGACAAAGGGAACCAAACTCTCTGTGGAAGAATTTTCCTGTTGTCACACTGTCCTTTCCATTTTAAAATCTCATTTTAATCCTGTTCACCATTAGGAAGCCATTCCTGTTTACAATGTAGTTCTTCTGGGGCTCTGCTAAACACAGTGCTAAATCCTTAGCTTCTAAAGTGCAAAGACTGTGTAACTTTGTTGATTATTGTGTCTCCAATGCCTACTATACTACCAGTGTGTGTGTGTGTGTGTGTGTGTGTGTGTGTGTGTGTGTGTGTAGGGTTAATCCAGGTGAAGAATATATGTAAGTATATACATCATTCATAGTGCTTGGCACACAGTAGACACTTAATAAATATTTAATGACTGCATAATTCAAAGATCAAATAAATGAAGCAATCATTGATGAAATGAAATGAATTATATCAAAAATGTTTAAGAAGTCAGTTTGATAGATTTTATTTTATAAAAAATATGGCATTTTTATAAGAACTTTCAGGAAATGCTACCATAGATATGAATCCAAGAGAAAACATGAACAAAAAGTACATGGGTAAAACTATGGTGTGTCTATGAGATGTCAAAATATTTAAATGAAGAAATGAAAATTCAGTAGGCTATCCAGCTGACATTTGGCATCATGAAACTGGATATCTCTAGAAGGGCTTTAATATTCATTTATTCATCCTCACTACATATCTGCTGACTTTTTAGTATTCTATTCAGCTAGTACAGATATTGTGTGTTTAAAGTCCAAGTTTCCATGTAGGAATATAAACTATTTTAATTTTCCTTCCTGCTGAAAATCCTTGAAGTTCCCCCCCAATTGAATTTTTCCCTAAGATAATTGGTTTGGAACCAATACACACAATTCTCTAACCAAAATGCTCTAGATTACTTGTCATCTTTGGCCACATGGGCCACATTGGAGATATAGATGCAAAATGTCCTATGATATTAGCATGAATTTAATCTTACAAATATGTACTACAACTGATCAGTTAGTCTGGATTATTGGATATGGGTGATGAAAGTAATTATTCAGATTAACTTCATAAACTATATCACCTCTTGCAGAAAGTATTAACAAATTGCTTGTAATCATGACCTAAAGCAAATGAATCAGAGCAGACTCCCTTTCATGTACTTTCATATAGACAATGCATCTTTAACATTCCCAGTTAGATACTTTAGCCATTTGTTGGCGCTTGAGAACCAGTGAAATTTTTCTCAATAGCATATTTCATCTCATTATTTTATGTGTGCAGGTTAAGAAGTCAGATCTTTCAATATTAATTATTGTATACAGAAACTGAAGGTAATTGACTACATTTTCATACATACTGTTGGAGCATGTAATTATCATCAGAACAGGCCCTAATTTCTCATATTGAAGATATATCTAAATAAGGGTCTTTGGTACTTTTAAATAGGCTGCTATAATCATTAGGTAAATACACTGCTTTGATAATGAGCATGCATATGTATTCACCAAACAGCATTTCTCAAATTTACTGTGAAAACATAAAAGTCAATTAAAACACACTCATATCATTGTTCATATAATAGTAACAATAAGACCAAAATCAAAGATTTTTCAAAAATTTTGATGTTACATTCACCACTCTGCCTTTCTCCTATCACTATAAAAATAAAACAAAATCATAAACTGCTCTCCTTTGAGGATCTCAAAACAAACAAAAGCTCTAACTTTCATTATTCCAATAGAATGAAAACTAAAATTTAAATCTGGCTTTTTAAAGTAATGACTTACAATTGAACTTCTTTTTTATCTTGGCTTACCTAAGGCGTTCCATACACGTTTCCAAGGCTTATAGTAGTTTGTGGGTGAGGACTGTATGCATAAGGAGTGATATGTCATGATTTCTTATTGGTATTGATTGGAAATATGATAATTTGTTCTCTTGAAAAATTAAATCATTTTTGAATGTTCAAAGAAACAAGGCTCAATACAAGGTTTTGTTGATATTTCATATATAAGATTTTCAAGGGCCATAAATGGCAAACAGAAGAAAATTATAAGCCACATTCTGAATTTTTTTCCATTGAGGTCACCTTTGAGAATTGTGCTACAGTCATCCAAAATATATCAGTCCAGATGTACTATGAGCTTTAAAATGAGTATCTCCATAGCTTTTAATATGTTTTTTGAATAATTTGTTTATTTCAATGCCAGGAAGAGCTAAATATGATCTGTGCCTAAATTTGAATTTTCTGGAAGAATAAAATGAAATTGATTCTTAATTTCTTTCTTAATAAGGGAAAGGGCTTTGACGACAATTGTTTGATCTCCTGACCAACTAATATCTCCTTGTTAAACTATTATTTTGGAAATAAATTTCAAGAAATAAAACTATTTTAAAGAACACCCATATATTCTTTACCCAGGTTCATCTGTTAATATTTTCTCCCCTTTGCTGTCTTTCTTGATAGATTAATACCATTTTTTTCTGAACTATTTGAGGGTAAGTTGCATTAGTCATAGCCTTTTAACTCTAAATTTTTCATCATATATCTCCTAAAAATAGGGATATTCTCTTACATAATCACAAATTCATGCCTTTTAATTGAATTTGAACAATAAGAGATAGCTTACCATCTGCAGTTTCATCACCTCCAAAGTGCTGTCGGTAGAAGAGCATCAATTCAATATTGTAGCATTTGTAGATGACCACGAGCAGTACAAGGAGGAGAAAGATTGCTCCCAGGCCTCCTGCAAGTTCAATTTTGTAGATTAAATCTGGAACAAATAAAATAAACAGGAAAAGGTAATTAAATCAGCAACACTGAGGAACTTCCCATATTTCTAGTCTCTAAGATGTACAACCCATTCTGTTTTTCTTTACAGAAGATTCTTGCTTAATGCAGTAAGTAGATGCGTTCTTGATACATTTGTGTAAATCAATTTCTTGTTAAATTAACTCTCTTCTAAATATTTGAAAAATTTTACTGTTGAAAGTGATGTCTATCTGAAAAAGAATAGTCTCTCCCACTTTGTTTTGAACACATCTAGACCTTACATGTATACTTTTGCTTTAACTGTACTTCAGGAAACTATTAGAGCTGCCTTTTACTGGGTTCAGGTCCAATATTTTGTTGTTTCTGTTAAATTATCTTTTGGCTTAGCAAGATTACAATCTAATACTTCTTAGGCCACAGGCCCTATTCTTCTACAGGAGAACAGCATCATAAAATTATTCTCAGAATCAAATAAAATCCAATGAGCCTACAGGATTTAACTGTTTCATTTAACCACAGTAGAACATAATCCAATAGAAGGTAGGCAGGGGAAATTAGCTTATCCATTTCCCCTACTTATCTGAATAAATGACTATAATTTGTATGTGATATAATATGCCCAATGGGGCTAAAAGAGAATGAGAAATCTAGGCTAATCACTTGGCCTATTCAGCCAACACCAGGCTACCTGATAGCAGCCTTAGGCTTTTCCAGTGGGGCACCCCTAGAACTCTGAGAGTTGGAACAATTAAATCAACACATAATGGAAGGAGACATAGTATATCCTAGGCCCAGGAAATAGTGACTTACATGTAGCTTAATTAGTGATATTAACAAAATCTAGGGTGTATCATCAAAAGAGGGGATAGCATCATGGAATTTAGAGAAAGGGGAAGTCAGAGAAGAATTTAGAATATGAATTCAGCAATGTCCAGAGGAGAAATGCTGAATCTGGAAGACACTAGACCAGAGATATTTTCCACTGTGTGACAGGGAAATTCACTGGTCTCAACATAATACAGATAAAACTATCTTAAAAATTAGCTAAGCTCCCCTTAATCTAATTCCATAATTACCAAGTGATTCTTTTATTATTAATTCAGCTTACCATGTAACTACAAACTGAAAAAGGGAGTGGCATTTTAGTTTGTACATCAGTTGCTTATGAGTTTGCTTGGTATCAATCAGCCTCCCTGGATGGATCAATTCTGGGGTACTGCCAAAATCAAATTGATGACAATGACAGACTGCCATTCTTGAAGGTCTCTTGACAGTAAAATCATGAGCCTTTCCCTGGGATTGTCCCTTGTCTCTATATAGGCTTATTGCTCAAGATGAATTAGGCTCAGTATAACAATAAGATTAAGAAAAAAGATGAACATATATAATATATACTACAAGTAATGTATATTATAGATAAAATTTTCTACCAGTCTACTATCTATTCTCTAAGTAATCCTTTAGGGCAAGAATTGTTGGTCCAAATTCATCACTGAAGAATCTAAGACTCAGTAGTTTAATTCACTTACCCAAGGTCATACACCTAAGAAGTGGCCAAGATGGGACTTGAGCCCAGATATTCTAACTTCATATTTAAAGTTCTTTTTATTACACCACAGTTTTGTAAGCTCCTCTGGAAAGTGACGATGAAATTCCTTCTCCCTCTTCCTCCATAGAACTGTTGGTAATGCTTTTCAAGAACATGTGACCTGCGGTGAATTTTGGATTCTTCTGCCCTTTCAATTCCAAGGAAAGAAGCTAAACTACAATTGCCAGGCAGAATGATAGGACCGAGCAGATCTCAGACAGTTTATTGGAGGGTATTGAAGAATTCTGCAGCTATATCAAGAAGGAACGAGGGGCTCCTTGGAGTCCAGCATATGAAAAGTTTTAGGTTTTGTAGGGAGATAGAGAGTTTGGTATTTTAAAGGAGGTGGAGTAATAGAGAAGATGGTAGTGGCCAGAGACAGCATGGCCAATGAGGAGAGTCGCTGAGTAGAAATGTAAGAAATATAAATGTATTCTTTTTCAGTAAGGAGAGGGGGAGAAGGATAGAAAAAAGAAGGGAGTGAAGCTGTTGTGAGAGACAAAATATATTAATAAGGAGCATTATGAGGGGCCACATAATGAGTAGGGATAGGAAATTGGAATCTATCTCTGTCATGCCTACTGCAAGAGGTGGTCATTTGGAAAATTAAGCCACAAAATTTCAGGTAAAAATAATCCTACCTCATATTAGCTCTGCCTCCTGCCCTCCCTATAGAAAATGACTCCCCAGGAACCACTGCCTGTCTCTATGTGGGTGGTAAGGCAGGCTTGCTTATGAGACCTCTGTGGGGCTGCAGTATCACAACCTTTGCTTGTTTTCTTACTGTTTTATCAATTATACATTCTTTTTTTATTCAAAAAAAAAGAATATCAAGTGTCTTTATATTTTTTTAACATCTTTATTGGAGTATAATTGCTTTACAATGGTGTGTTAGTTTCTGCTTTATAACAAAGTGAATCAGCCATACATATACATATACCCCCATATCTCCTCCCTCTTGCATCTCCCTCCTACTCTCCCTATCCTACCCCTCTATGTCGTCACAAAGCACCTACCTGATCTCCCTGTGCTATGCGACTCCTTCCCACTAGCTTTCGGTTTTACATTTCGTAGTGTATATAAGTCCATGCCACTCTCTCACTTCGTCCCAGCTTACCCTTCCCCCTCCTCCTGTCCTCAAGTCCATTCTCTATGTCTGTGTCTTTATTCCTGTCCTGCCCCTAGGTTCTTCAGAACCATTTTTTAAAAAAATTCCATATATATATATATTAGTATACGGTATTTGTTTTTCTAGCCAGTGTGAAATTGACAGGGCAATATGATTTTTTTTTGTTTACTCTGAAAACTGAATTCTCTTTGATCTTAGGTCATTGATTGACTTGATTCAACATGTTTTTCCTCTTGTAAAATGTTCATTTAATGTTGTAATTTTGTTAACTCTCTGTCTCTGTCTCTCTCCCTCTGTCTCACTCTCTGGTCAGAACAGCTTTCAACTGTTTTCAAAGTCACTGAATGGGATTTTTTTCCAGCAATTTCTATGTTATTTACAGAGTAGAGTTGCTATTAGGTAGATGGAAAACTTCAGCAGCAGGAACAATTTGTGCTCCCAAGTAGCAGACACCTTTTTCAGCAGTAAATATATGGAAGAAAACTGTGGTGTGAAAAGTACCTTTGTGGTTTTTGGGTCCATTTTATAAAAATATCTTTGAAAGATATTACCTAGTGATGGCTGTTTACATTGAAAACTGTGGACCGAGTCCCTGAGACTCAACCAGTATTCTTTGATTCAGCACAGGCAGTCACATTAAAAGGGAAACATGTATCCTATAATCAGAGGGCAGAATTGCCATCACCCAGTTGACACCTAGCTTTTCTTTTGTCTTCTGTTTTCAACTGCCATTTTCCATCTCAGCAGGATCTATACTTCTAGGGACATTTCCTGACTAAGAAGGTGGAAGTCATTTTATTTGGACTGTGTCGTGTATACGCTTCACAAGGATAGAGATAGCCAGAAGAGCAAATATTTATGGGATTGTAACTTTTTCCAGGCACCCAAAGTACAAGTGTAGTTCTTTTTAACCTTCTTAGTTTGAACCCAGCTAGTTCTTCACTTTGAACATGAAGATCAGACAGCATAGAATGGGACAAATAATAGCTGAAGTCAAGGGACTGGAGTGCAGGAAGACTGGAACTGTTCTGAGCTTGCTCATAAGTTGGGAAGCAGGTTAGGAGATCCCACCTGAGGGTCTCCTATACAGGTTGGGGGTTCAGGGTGGGGCAGTAGCACTAGGAATGAAGAGAAAGAGAGAGTCATTGATATGTCTCTGTTTGTGGGAAAGGGAGTATATACAGAGAAGGCATAATTATCAGAATTTTCCTAGCATTAAGTTCAGAGTCTTGGTTCACCAAAAAAAAAAAAAATGAATTTCTTACTAAAATGTTAGCTGTACTTGTTGGCAAATAGTTCATTGGACAGTGAGGGCATAGCAGGTTAGTAAATGAAGGTAGAAGATGCATAGTTAAGAGACATCTTGCTTTGAGAATGCCTGACCCTGTTAATTGCATATATTAGACATGAGTTTTCATTTTACGAAAGGCCTTTTCACTTTGTGAAAGGATTCATGAAATATTTCTTCTCTATAATGATCACTTATGGCATTTTTGATATTTGACTTATAGATCATCAGGAAGTTATTGTTCCATAAAACGAGCCATACTCATATTCCAGGTGGAAATCCTGTGGCTACTGATGCCAGGCTATGTTGTGATAAAGCCTGAAAGGTTCAACTCCAAAGGAAATAACTGAAATTTTGCAATACAAGCCAGAGCTCAGTCTGATTTAATATGCTGGATCAGGACCATAGGGCTTATTGTTCTTTTCTGGACTTCTACCATATTGTCGATAGCTCCTAAAGAAAATGGAGTAAGGGAAGATGAACTGCATCCTTTTGCAAAGCGCAGTGAAAAAATTTAAATGCTACCTAAAACAGAGAGTACAAACTGGTATACAATGGGCCAGAAAAAAGGTTTTTGTTGGTATATATGTTTCCCAAAAAGTAGATACTAATATTCTAAAATAAAAATATTGCATATCCAGACTTTCAACTTCACTTGAAAACCTTGAAGCTCTCATATCCTTAGGTTCACATTTCAGCAAGCATGGCAATAATCTAGAAAAGAATAGTGACTGCCCTTTAAAGAAAAGCATGTTTCCTCTAGCCTGTGTTTAATATCCAGCCCTCTTTTTCTTTTAATTTCAATATCTACCTTGCTATTAATGTCTTTGAGTTTTTATCCCCCAATCTGGAAATTGAATGTTTTGAAAAGAGAAATGCATTCAGATAACCCAGAATAGACACTAGTCAAGGCCAGATCTCAGGGAAATCCTCTCTTTACCAATCCCCGTTACCCATCCTCTATCCTATTGCACCTGTCCTCTAGGAGGACCATTTTCGCCCAACAAATGTTTTTGAGCACTTACTATATTCTATGTGCTAGGGATACAGCAGTAAATAAGGCAGGAAAAAGTCCCTGTTCTTATGAAGTTTACATCCTAGTGTGTGTGGGGGGGGTGGGGTGGGTGGGGGGGAGACAAGAAGAAAACAAGTATGTAATATGATATCAGATAGTAGTAAATACAATAAACAGAAATAGAGCCAAGTGAGAGGGAAAAGAAGGTGATGGGTAGTCCATCGATGGATGAATGGATCCAGAAAATATGGCATATATACACAATGGAATATTATTCAGCCTTAAAAGAGGAGATTCTGTCATTTGCTACAACATGGATGAACCTGTAGGGCATTATGCTAAGTGAAATAAGCCAGAGCGAGAAAGATAAATATTATAGTGCATGGTATCACTTATATGTGGAATCTTAAAAAAAAAGCTGAAGTCACAGAAACAGAAAGGAGAAAAGTGGTTGTCAGGGGATGGACGGTGGGAGAGGAAATAGGGAGAGGTTAGTAAAAGGGTACAAACTTTCAGGCAGATGAACCTGGTCTGAGGATCTAATGTATAACATGGTGACAGTGGTGGATAACACTGTACTGTATAACTGAAATTTGCTGAGAAGGTACAACCTAAATGTTCTTACACACACAGAAATAAAATGTAGATGTGTGAGGTGATTGATGTGTTAATTAACTCAATGTGGGGAGTCATTTCACAATGTACACATATATCAAATCATCACGTTGTACATTTAATATATCTATATATCATACAATTTTATTTGTCAGTTTTACCTCAATAAAGATAAAATTTTTTTAAAAGAAAATGATTGGGTAGTACTATTTTATAAAAAGTGGCCAGGGAAAGGCCTATTGAGTAGGTAATATTTAAGCAGGGACCTGTATGAAAAGAGGGAATGAGTCATGGGAACAGCTGGGGGAAACAGCAGTGTTTCAGGCAGAGGAAATAGCAAGTGCAAAGATCATGAGCCAGGACTGTGCTCGGTGAGCGTGAGAAATAGAAAGGAGGCTAGTGTGTGCAAGGTTTGAGGCAGATTGTGGTAGAAAATGAGATCAGAAATGTCTTGAAGGCCATGGCAAAGATTTGGGGTTTCATTCTAAGTGTAACAGTGAGGGTTCTGTAATTGGATGGTTCTAATTAGAGAAATAATATGATCTGACCTAGATATTAAAAGGATCACTCCAGATGCTGTGATGAGAATAGACTGCGAGGGGAAAAGGGGGAAGCAGGGAGACCGTTCACGGGGCTATTGCAGTGATCCAGGCAATTGATGCTGGTGGCTTAGACTCAGATGATAACAGTGAAGATGGGGAAAGTGCTCAGAGTACATATGTTTTAAAAGTAGAGCCATGGAATTTGCTGGTAGGCTAGATATAGCGTATGAGCAGAGAAAAGAAGAAGTCAATGATGACTCCAAGGATTTTGGGCCTGAGCAACTGGAAGGATGGTGATGGAGATGAAGAAGGCAACTGGAGGATCAAGTTTATAGGGAGGAGAAATCAGGAATCCTGTGTGGGACAAGTGAAGCTTGATATGCCTGCTAGATATGTCTACTAGTGGAGTTTTTGAATAGTTGCTGAATAGGCAGTTAGGAATACAACTCCGGAGTTTAGGCGAGAAGTCCAAGCTAGAGATATAAATTTGGGAGATGTCAGCATATAAATCGTAAGCAAAACTGAGGTGGAGATGGAATTGAAATCATCTAGGGAGTGAGTGAGAGAAGGGGACCTGAACCCTGGGGAACTCTAATATTTAACAATTAGGAAGATGAGAATTAATATTCACAGTTATTCATGATTTAGACACATTTCCTTGCAGAAGCCATGGGAGGCAGCAATTTTGCAGCGTACCTTGGTTTCTAGTGTCAGATTATTAGAAATTTGAAGGGCTGCTAGTGGTTGCTTTACTTATTAAAGGGAAATGGATTTATTTTAAAACTCAAGGCTATTTCTGTCTCTACTGACTGACTATATGGTAAGACCCCCATTATTTTTCCTCAGAGCAGGCTTTTAATTGTAACACCATACACATTTTGTGCAATTTTTTGTTTCATGTTTGAGCTTTGTCTTTCTTTGCACCCTCACTGCCCTGAAGACTATAAGCCCCCCACAGACTTGGGGATGACTATTCCCTAGTACCTAACACGATGCTTGCTATACATGATCCTCAATAATAAAAGAGAACATTATTCATTTATTAACCAGAATGAGTTCTAAGTGCCTATTAGTGGCCGGACACTGCCCAAGTTGCTGAGGATACAGAGGTGCAGCAGAGTCTGGCTTGGAGGATCTCTAAGCCTAAAATAAGACTGAGATGGACAGGAACAAAGCGATCCTTGCAAGAAGGTATCTGGACATAATCAATGTCTGCCCTTCAAGTAGGTGGACAAGTGGTTGCTTAGTGGATACAAGTTATCCAAATTCCATTTAATAACAAATCTTGTTTGAGCATGGTATATTTCACACCATATCATTATTATTTGAACCTTAAAGTGACTCTACCAGGTAGGTATTTTTACCCCTATTTTATAGATGAGGAAACTAAAGTTTAGGATGTCTAATCAGACAAGTTAGTCCTACTGAAGTAGGTAGCCAAGGCAGTGGCTGAACCGGGATCTCCTGAAGCAGGGTCTCCTAGTTTCACTTTCTATATTAGACTCCTCTATACTTAAATACTCCATTATTTTAAGATGAAATCAAGTCCAACAGAGTAAGAAATGGTGCTAGAGAGATAAAAGCATTATTCTCAGAATAATGACATTTCCCTGCTTCTCCTAGAACTGCTGGTCAAGGTTATATATTAGGGCTGGTTGGAAAATAGAAACTCCATCTTGGCTACAAGGTACAACTAGTGACCTTGCTGATTGAATCTGTTCTAGCTCTATAGCCTAGACAAAAAGAACACTGATTGAGAACATTTGTTCTGTTACATTTACAAAACCTTTGCCAGATGCACACATACAGAAAGTATTTAGCCTTTTGCAGTAATCAGGAGTTATTTCATGGTAAGAGCCAATCTCAGAAGTTGCTCCAGCAGCTGGGATTGTTGTTCCTATGTCTGTTTTTATCTATTTTATTTGTAAATTTATAGTTTCTTTTCTTTGCTCATTATATACAATTTCCACCCCATATGGAATCAACTCTAGAGAGGGATCTACATAAATGCCAAAGTATTTAAAAATATATGCACCTGCTGAAGGCCTTCAACACCAGGTCATATCATGAAATATTGTTCATGATATTTATTATAATAATTGTAAAAATTATATGATACTATCTATTATTTTTATTTATATTTTAGTCAGGGAATAAAGAAGTGATTTTGTTTCTCATCCAATAGTAAAACCCCTATTATTTAATTTAAGCAATATAGGATGAAGTGAAATATAGAGAAAATGTTTAATATCAATGCCTATCAAATTTTATGTAACACTTATAACCAAGGTATATTTCATCTTACTGGATTTAACAAATAACAACATTTCATTTCATTTATCCACTTCCTAATGGTATGGAAGATCATAGGAATTTTATGCTAATATCCACAGCAAGAGAGAGATATTTCCTTAAAAAGACAAAATGTTTAATAGACATTTATACTAAATGATAAAATCAGGCCAGGAAACATACCTAACTTCAATAGTTACTTGATAGGTAAACAAACTATAGTAACAGTTATTTAAAAAAATACCCTTTTTACGCAGCAGAACACTTGCATGTTTTCGTCCATTTCGGTTTTCCACATGGCAGGTATAATTTGCCAGGTCAGCCTCCACCACTGAATCAAAGATGAGTGCCAACTCAACTTCTTTTTCTCCAAGATGCTCTTTGAGGAGCCTGAAATAAAGGAAAGTATTCTTGGCTGAATTGGTTTGATTTGGGGAGAGCCCAGCCATGCAAGGACTAAAGATGGTTACGTAGCTTACTAAGGTCTCCAGTGGGCTGGAGAGTCCTGACGGGGTGTATGTGCAGAAACTTGGAAAAGAAAACACAAAAAGTGACTCTTAATTGCAAAGATCAGATGGAAAATGAAAAAAGTGAGGAATTCACTCAGCAAAAAGAAATATTATCATGCCACTAGGCTTTGATAAATGAAGCCAATATGATTTGTGTGGCAAAGAGGAGGAGACGTTGGACTCCATAATCTAAGCTGAGCTTATGAAAACAAATTGGATTTTTGCAACACGGCATGAAGGGAAAAATGTCTGTAAAAATGTAGTTTATGTCAGAGGCTAGAGTTTTGATAACAGGGGGTAAGATGGTAAAGAAATGGGCCTTGAAAATGACTGCCTTATGAGAATTAAACTAAGGGTGTTTAGTGGCCTTTTATCCCCAAATATCGGTGAGAAGCCTGTTCTCTACTTTCTCCTGCCTTCTGTCCAATGCAGGTATATACCCCTAATCCTCCAATGACCTACCATGGCCCTGCTTTCTCCTGACATTGCTCGCCATTTGTCTTTCTCCTTCCCTCCACACCCTCCCATGCCCCTAGGAGGAACTGCCCTATGTGACATATTCTCATAGTGCTGCCTTTTGCTTTCTCAAGTGAAGTTGCAAAGGTTCTTGAATGGCCAGTAACAGTTGTTCTTCATAGAGGAGCTGAGTTGCCAGGAACCTTTCCTGAGGAGCGTGCCTCTTGTTTCTCTGGAGAGTTACATTCTTGCCAATGGCCAGCTGCCTCCTGGGTGAGGTGAAAGTAGGTACACTGCCTACTATTACTTTCTAACTCCTGGTTTTGACCAAAGAAAGAGAAAATTGTGAGTCTAAATAGTGGAAAGCCTGCTGTTAAGTTCTGGGGTGAGGTTGTTAAATACATGAATTTGCAAGATGGAACATTTGGGGCATTTAAAGTAATTCTCATCTCCTTTTTGACACCTGGTTAGGAAGGCAGAGAAGAACATTCAGATTTACTGGCATTTAGCATAAAGTTGGAAAAGACAACTGTACTCAGAGAAAACTGGGTTATAAATATGGGCCTCCCACTTACAAGCTCAAGCTGTATTCTTACAAAGTAATTAACTCAGTGGCATCTTAATATAACTCATCTTTAAGTTGGGAAAAATACCTGCCATACTTAACTTTGTTGTGGGGGTAAAATGGGTAAAATGATTTTAAGATTAAATGGCATATGCAAATGCAAATGAATGTTATTAAACACCAACATTTCATTATCCAAAGGTGAACTGTTTATACATTTTGGCTCCTCGAAACATATTTGTATTTATACTTATTGATATTTCAATTTGGTTTGGATTAATCTCTTCTGGCTCCCCTTTAAGAGAAGGAAAGACTTAAAGTTGTGTTGGTGAGAGGGAGTTCTTAGAATCTGAGAATCTCCCATACTGAAGTCCTAAAACCAGATTATATCCCAAATAGAGATGCTTTTAAAATTAACCCTATTTCTGTTACCTTCCAATAATATACATATCAGAGAGTTGACAATACTGGCATTGGTAACTTGAGTAAGTCTCTTTAGTATAAGAATTTTCTTAACCATATTTCACTGGTAGTCTATTCATTTTTTTCTTCCTGGCTAAACTTGCAGTTTTCCTCTCTTTCTCCTCTCCCAACACATACCTAAACAAGGAAAAATGGGAATTTACTGTCCTAATGGTTTATATTGAATTTTACTCTATTTTCCCCCTGCTATGTGTATATCACACTATACTCAATTCTTTTAGTTCTGTGTGACCTGCTATGGGATAACCCCCTTTAGGCCAGAAGCTGCTTAAGCACCACAAATTAAGTTTGATTTAAAGCTTCACATGTAGGGCAGCCACAGCCTTTGCCAGGCATAAGGCAGAAAGCTGATCCTGTCCCTCCAGACAAAGCCTTTCCCTCTTCATTTCTAATGCAGTTTCCAAAAACAGCTCTTCACAGGCTGCAGAAAGAATCTAGAGAGAGGATTTGAAAAATGATCCTTCATCTATTAATATATATGAGGTGTCTTAATTATCAGCTCTTGAAAATCTAGAGGAGACCTGCTTTTTTGTAATTAAAGAGAAAATTGGTGTTTATGTCTATAAATCATTCTGCAGAGCAGTCACAATTTCCTAGCAAATATTGATATGTAACAATCTATCAATTATTCTTTGTCATTCCCCTGAGTGCCTAGCTCTGGGATAGGTATTTGGTGTAAGAACAGTATAAGCACTAAAAGACCAGGTGCCTGCTCCCAGTAAGCATTAAAATTTAAACAAGGAGACAAAATCTACACAGCTGAAAAAATTATAGGCGGAATGAAGTAAAACAGGATGGTACAGTCATTCTTACAATGGAATTTCAAAAAAGGGAGAGATTATTATTTACTAAATTAGCTGGAGAAGGCTTGAGAAGACTCTGCCTAAACAAAAGGAAGAAGGAAGTGTTTTCTAGGAGGGAAGATAGGAACAGGTTTTTGCAAAATGTTTGAAAGAGAGACTGAAGGGACTGGTTTTGGAATGGAGGACACAAATAAGGGGGTCTTGGGATATACTTCAAATAACTTCAGAAGTATCTCATTCCAAGGATTAATATTGAAGGCAAGTTATAGGCAACAGTGAACACGGGCAAAATAAAAAATACTAAATTCAGGTGACAGAAATCACTAGTTTCAAAAGTTTTATTGTTAAGACCTATTATTAAAAAGTAATACTAGAAAATGTTTAGAAGTTGTCACTCTCATCCTTACAAGAGGAAAAGCAAACAAAATAAAAGTCAACAACTTTTCGTAGATCCATCAGAGAATTGAGGTCACAGGGCAAACTCCTGCCCCCTAAATTTGAGATAGCTAGACAAATACTGAGAATCACAGTGTACTGGGAGCAGAAACCCAGGAGCAGGAATCAGTATGAATAAAAACACTTAAAATGTAATTGATGAGTCACTGTAGGCCCAATATGGACTAGATTGAGAGTTAAAAAAAAAAAAAAACTCCATGGGATCTAATCTTAGGGGTGCCCTGTACTTTCATGAGTTTTGCTTCCAAGAGCCTGTCCAGAGTTTCAGGGTGAAGATCAGAGAATCCTTTATGCTTTTGGCACAGGAAGGGGAAAAGCAACTATCTTGAAATGAGCCCAGAGCACTCTTTCTTCTTAACAAAGGCACGCCCTCAAGTGAGACCCTTTAGCAGAACCTAAATTACTTGGGTTTTACCAAAACTGGGGGAAGAGAAATATCCAACTCCAGCCTCCTCAAGCCTTCCTATCTCATCTAAGAAAAGGAGGAAAGCTGAGGAATACTTGTAAAGGTCACAGCCTGAAGGTACAGGTTCATCGAAAGACTAAGACTTTACCATAAGATTATAGAATACTTACCACCACACCAATCAAGCTCCTGTATGATTACAAAGGTTTTCAGCTGAAAAACCTGCAAAGCTCAGACCCTATTTAAGAAGCAGTCTCTAGGAAAACTGAAAGAAACAGTGGAGACATAAACAAGTACATTATAGGAAATTTTAGCCTCTTACACCTACGACTGTAGAAAACAGTAAACACAGCCTAACTCCTAGCCACATAAACATAAAATCTCACAATAAAGACCTATTTACTTCAGTTCCTTTTATCTGATACATCACATCTGGCTTTCAATCAAAAAATGATAAGGCATGTTAAAAAGAAAGTCTGAAAAGACAATGCAAGTGTCAGAACCATATTCAGGTATGGCAGAGAATTATCAGAATGGGAATATAAAATAACCATTATTAATATGTTAAAGGCTCAAATGGAAAAAGTGAACAACATAAATCAATAGCTTGGTAGCATAACCAGAGAGATGGAAATTCTAATAAAGGCTCAGAAGGAAATGCTAGAAATAAAAACACTGTAATAGAAATAAAGAGTGTCTTTCATGGGCCATTAACAGACTGTACGTGGCCAAAGAATCAGTGATCCTGAAGACAATCAACAGAAATTTCCTAAATTGAAACACAAAGAGAAAAGAGCATGGCAAAAAAAGGGACAAAATATTGAACACCTGAGGTATAACTACAAAAGGCATAACGTACTTGTAATCTAAATACCAAAAGAGAAAGGAACAATAGAAATATTTGAAGTAATAATAACTGAGAATTTTCCAAAGATACCAGACCACAGATGCAGAAGTTCAGAGAATACCAAGCAGAGTGAAAATTAGAAAAGTTACACCTTGATGCATCATATTCTAACTGTATAAAGTGAAAAAATGAGAGAAAATCTTAAAAGAATTCAGAGGAAAAAGCTTAGCTATAGAGGAATAAGAATAAGAAATACATCATACTTCTCTTTAGAAACTATGTAAGCAAGAAGAGAGTGGAGTGAAATATTGAAAGTGTTGAAAGAAAATTACTACCAACCTAGAATACTGTATCCATTTATCCTTCAAATGTGAAGGAAAAATAAAGACTTTTTCAGACAAATAAAAACTGAGGGAATTTGTTGTCAGTATACCTGTCTTGCAAGAAATGTTAAAAGAACCTCTTAAGAGAAAATGAAAATGATATAGGTCAGAAATTTGGATCTACATAATGAAAGGAAGAGTGTTAGAGAAGGAATAAATAAAGAAAAAATATTTTATTTTTCCTATTCATAATTGATCTAACTGGTAACAGTTTGTTTAAAATAATAATAGCAATAAAAGCAGTTATAAGACGTTCTGAGGATCTAATATACAGCATGGTGACTACAGTTAGTAACATGTATTGTATACGTGAACGTTGCTGAGATTAGATCTTAAGCATTCTCACCACATTAATAAAAGAGTTAACTATGTTAACTATGTGAGCTTAACTAATATAATGGTATATGTCAATTATACCTCAATAAAATAAAATGAGAGTGAAACTGTAACCTGCAGAATGGGAGAAAATATTTGCAAACCAT